TCACTATTTCTTAATTTGTATGTAGAGTTCAGTTAGTCAGTTGCTAAGCTTTTAAATGGGAAATACCATAATAACAAAACATGATATCCATAAAACATGAAAAAATTATATGAACTAAAAACTTCTTATTCATTCTAAACCAACAAGAATTACCTTGAATTAACAACTGTAAAGTCCATTTTCTTGATGGTGTTCCACTTGAATCAAACGTTTAAAGGCTATGATTACCGCTGTCATTCCTGTTCACTTTCTTGATCTTAAATCTTCCATTGCAGGGAGAAAGGAGAGATCTATGTGATGTGGGGTTAGAAATACCCCTTTCTCTCTCACATCCAGTATATTTAATGAATTCTTTAACAACTGGTATCTAGGTATTTCTGAGGAGCTCTACCAGAAAATCATCAAGAAGAATTTCAGGACATGCTCAGAAATACGACAAGTCCACCTCTGAATGGCTCAATAAATAAATATTTTTAAAATATATATATATATATTTTTAATTAAGGCTTTGAAGTGACCTTAGTCAAAGTTCACACTTAAATCCAATTAAGATGCTCGCTTCGCAGTTCTTGCTGCTAAGGGTCACACAACCACTTGTTAGAGTTATGAAGTAATTACTTTTTCAGATAGGAGTGGGTAAGTTTGGGTATAGCTTTCTTTTCCTCAATAAAAAATTAATAATTTAAAAAGAATGGTGGCCACCTTCTCGAGTTATCGCATTCATTAGAGTTTCAGATTACTGGAGATGTTACCTTTACCTAGAGGTCAAGGTCGCTTTCAGCAACAATACCTGATTGTGGCCACAAGATGGCAATAATGAAAAAGATGGATGTAAACAGGCAAGGAACTAGACAGCATTATGGCACTATGGCAGCTGTGATATCTGCCTTTTGCAACAGGGGGTGCTAAAGGCAGATATCTGCCTTTAGCACCCCCTGTTGCTAAAGGCAGATATCTGCTGCACCTGCAGCAATGTGAAGCAGGCTCAACTTTTGACACTGGTCTAAAACTCATGCTTTCACTCTTTTCCTTCTCTGAAGCAAAACCTAAAGTTATCATTATCATTTTTGTTAAAATATGTGGACTTTTTTAAACTAGACGTTTTACTGAAGACTAAATATCTTTAAGCTACAACATCCAGTGAATCAGGAAGGGAAACTTCATGCACCCTCTTTTTGATGACAAGGCTGAAATGTATGCTTACTTTCCAGTGGGGAGTATTTTTGTATTCATGTGTATGTGTGTGTGTGAGTTTATGAGTGGGTGTTTGGGAGTTTCCCACTAAGTGAACAGAAACAGAAGTAGGTCACATGGTGATGTTGGCCATGTCAAAAGCAGTTGTCACTTTTTCACCCCCCTCCCTTCAGATTGTTTTAAGTAAGCAAATACAATGCTTCACATTAATACATGTTTAAAACCTGTGAAGAATTCCGAGTCCCCACCATAACAAACAGGAGAGGGCTGATCTACTGCATCATGCCCTAAAAGAAGACAGGACAAGACCCTGAGGAGGAGTGTGTATGAGTGTGTTAGATTATATTCTTTTGTTGGCTGAAGATAGGAACAGTGACCCTACAGTGTCTCTTTTTCATTAGTAGTGTAAGTTGTATTATTGGTAGTGACACAGCAGGCCATGATGCTGTCACATGAAGCTAAACAGGTAAATAAAACTGAATTAATTTAATTGACTTTTTTTCCAGTTATAATATTTAGCTGTTCTTTAGTGTTGTTAGCTGAACCCTAAATGTGTTTCAGACACAGACTTGCATAAAGCACCTTTGCATAGCATGGACTAAGACATATGGGTGCAATCAAATGCTGTTTTCTGTTTTTGGTTAACATTTACAAATTGTGGTTAGAGTCCTTCTGGTTGGGACTGAAAACTCAAAATAGTGATGTTTGCTCTTTTTCTATTTGCAGGTGAGGAAACCTTTTGTGAAGGCTGACAGGATGCACTATAAAGCTTTGGGGTGATCTGTGGCAATTTAAGTAATGGATAGCACTTTATTTAGATAGCATATTTAGATTCTAGCTGTTAAAGGATCAATCAAAAGTACTCACTGGAAAAAAGAATAAGGTTCTACTTTATAGCATAGAAACAGGTTTGTGGTCCCACTAATGCAATAATTAGGGTCAATAACCTGAGAAGGACAGCTAGTGGTGAATATATCACTAAAAGCTTTTGTTCAAGTGGACACATATCAGGCAAGCGGACTCCACACCCTAATACCCACTGCCATGTGTCAACTGCTATAAACCACCATCTTAATAGATCTTAATAGGTCTTTAAATGTCTCACAAGTTTTTCACACAGGGCTATGTAGGTTTGGATTGTATCCTCCCATTTTCTGTTTATTTGTGTTATCATTGTCTTTTATTTAAATTTGTTTGATGATCTGATCTTTGCTGTTCCTAGGACTGTGCTCTTCTGGACACAGATGTTGTTCATGGAATCTCTGAGCCGCTTGCCCATTTTGGGAGTCACAGCCTCAAGTGTTTTGATTACCACTGGGACCACTGCTGGCCTAACCTTCCAAATCTTCTCTAGCTCCCCTCTCACCCCTAGGTATTTCTCAAGCTTCTTTTGTTCCTTCTTCCAGATGTTACTATCACTTGGTATAGCCACATCTGTCACTACAGTCTTTCTCTTCTGCTTGTCCACCACTACTATGTACTCACTCTCAGGGGCATATCCCATTTATATTCTAGAATTACACTGTTATAGTGTATCTGTGCAAAAACAAAAATATATGAAAAGCTACATTTTTGTTCACATAACATGTGTGGTACAAAAGACGCTTTATTTACAGTCATATTTTCATTAACATTCAAATGCTTTCTCTTTATCATGTTTCCATTTACATGTTGGTCGAACCTTTACCAAGTGAAGAACTAATCAAAGGCTTCCACAGAGTACAGATGCAGAAAACACTCAGTGTTTGTAATTAAATCAAGAGGTCATGTAACAATAGTTGTGTTAATCACCTGATATATTACAAAAGTGACAGTCCAATACATTAACACTTATAAGCTATGGTTTGTATTTTATACGGGGAATTTACATTAAATGAAGGACCTTTAGGCATCTTAACATCAGCTCCTCACTCCAGCTACTTTCAGTGGAGCTGTCTGTCCAAAAGCACTGAGCACTTCTTCACCTGACTTTATGGACGTTAGCATACACACAATCAGTTCCTGTTGGTTCAGGCCTCCGAGGTCGCTTTGCAGACTTGACTTGGCCGTACTCCACAGCCGCTTTTTTCTCAGCTTGGTTTGCCTGCCTTTTGACAAACTTGACATCAGCAAAGACTTCCTGGTCATCTTCTTCCTCTGCAGAGTAACAAGAAGGAATGGTTCAAATATAGTATTAAAATAAGTGAATGATTAAAGGAATACAAAAACAGTAGATAACATAAAATGAGTCACACAAAATATGACTTTTAAAATGGGTTCTTTAGCAAGCTTTAGAGTTTATAGTTTGTGGATTTTGCTTCGTTTAGACAGAGCTGTTTTCCCAGTTTTTGTGTTAAATGTAGCAGGATAGCAGTATCTGCATATTTAACTGATATATGACAGAGTAATCAATAAACTCTTGACAAGAAATCAAAAATGTATTTAAAAAGCTTACTATTCCGTATATCCTAAACAACAAAAAAGCAATCTGAGCAAAATAAGTGATGAAATAAAGTGTACCCTTTTTTGTAGGTTTGCTGTTTTGCTTTTTCCTCCGAGCACATATGACTGCTACATCAACAACCAAGAAAATTACCAGCACTGAGAGAACACCACCTATCAGTGGCAAATTTCCTGTTTCAAAAATAAAAGGCACAAACAGATAATCAGAAAACATGTTGGTTTTTTATCAAGACAGAGAATGAGCAAAGGAGAAAATTACATCAATGGATCTAAAGTTACTTTTTACTTACTAATGTACCATGGCTCATCACTGATGGTAGTTCCATAATCCTTACCCACAGAAGTCTGTTTTGGTGGAGTACACAGGGTGTTATTAGCTTTATACACCCACCGTGATATCTGTGTCCCATTGACTGAAGTACAGTTAATGAAAATAAAGCCTATGAGCAATAAAACACATAATTCGTTAAAGATGTGCAAAGTTACCGTATTAATTAATGAATTAGTAATTATCATATATATATCAGATTATTTATATTCTCACTCACCACAGGTAGATATTCTCTCCTCTTTGGAGACATTACTGACGTTGTTCCTTACTGAGCAGACCAGACGTCCTGAGACGTGCTGTTTCAGAGTGATGATGTTACTCTCATTATTTCTAGAAAGGAGCTCAGCATCTGTCAGTGTGCGTCCATCCAGAGTCCAGCTGTACTGAGGGCTGTCCCCTCCCTCAGAGGAGCAGGACACCCTCCTCTCTCCCTGGGACAGACACTTAGAGTCCAGCAGGACAGAGGACACAGGAGCTGAGAGAAAAACACACAGATGAGTTTTTTAAAATGGTATCTTGGTCATTCTTTATAGTCTCTAAAGAAAAACAGGAAAAGCACAAAACACATGTATCTAAAATTTTGTGAGATGTAATATATGGATTACCAAAAATCTATTAATGGCTTAATTTCCCAACATTTACCTTGAATGAACAACTGTAAAGTCCACCCGCCTGATGATCTTCCATCTGAATCCAAGGTTTCCAGGGTATATTTACCACTGTCTGTGCTGCTCAGGTTATTGATCCTAAATGTTCCTCTACTGGGAAAAAGAACTCTCTCTCTTATGGTATTAGAAATAACCGTATTATTTCTCACATCTAATATTTTTATTGAGTTCTTCACCAAGTAGTATCTATATATTTCTGAGGTGCTGTCCATCAGCTGGATGTCCACAGTTCCTCCCAAAGGTCCATAACACTGAGCTCCGTCCCGTCTGCCATCACAGTAAGTTTCCACACCTGCAAACAAGAAAAGGAAACACAGTTTGTTTGTTTGTTTGTTTGTTTTTTAAGTTACAAATTTGAGTTTGGCAAAATCTGCAAATGTCTACCTAAACCAAAAATGATAGTTTTGTGCCCACTGTCTGTCACAGATGAACATTATACAGGTCTGTGAATCACAGTTAAGGTTCAGCTAGCAGCACTATTTTCCCTGTGCTGATGAACAGTTGCAAACTACAACTAGAAAATGACAAATTCAAATTACACAATTATTAATTGAATTTGATTTAGCTGCTGTAGCTTTAGGGTTTTGTTGATGAAACGTGTTGCCTTATTGTTATACCATCATAATCTTATTTCATTTTTATTGCTATAGATAGCCGGAGCTTTTTTTTTTTTCTTTTTTTTGCCTGTCCTGTCTGGCAGTGTAGCAATCAGAACTGATGTTAAAAGGACAAAAAAATGGCCAACACATTTATTTTTCCAAGTGTATCATTACAGCTTTTGCTATACTGGTACACTTGTCATATTTTATTAGGATTTTTGGGGGTTACTACAATCAGATTGGACAAGACCGGGACAGGAAAGAAGAAAGAAAGAAAAGTTGGTGAGAAAGTTAACAGAAGAAGAGAAAGAGAAAAATAGAGAAGAAGAGGGCTAGAGAGAGAGGGAGACAGAGAGAAAAAAACACTGAAAATCTGCTTCACCACCCGCTGATTTTATTATTTATTTTTCACACGGTCATATTATTTAATGAAATGACCTGTTATAACTGACCCAGTTGAAGGTAAAGACTTATGGATGTTTAAAAGACTGATAGCTAATCTGGAAGATGTGGCCCAACATAAGGCCATTCTTATTTAAGAGCATAAATGGAATAATACAGAAAGCCTCCACAAAGCCAGCTAATTTTTATTTGGCATGTGGGACGCCTTGAAACTTATGTGAACATGAAAAAGTATGCTTTTGTAGTTCTGCATATCTTTAGTGCTCTGAACAGGAGAAGCTCTCCAGTGAAGTTCAGAAACAGAAATTACACTAAAAAGGGAGAACAGTATAATTAAATGTGTTTTTTTAATTAACTTATGATGAGAGCTGAAGGAGCTTACTACTGTGAAAAAGAAACAGT